CCCCGGATCATGCGGGTGGCCCTCCTCTGGACCCTCTCCATGTTGTCCACATCCCTCCTGAAGTGCAGCGCCCAGAACTGGATGCAGTACTCCAGATGCGGCCTGACAAGTGCCGCACAGATGGGGAGTATCACCTCCTTGGACCTGCCTGAGATGCATCTGTGGATACATGACAAAGTGCGGCTGGCCTTCCTGACTGCATCCCCACACTGCTGGCCCATGTTCATCTTGGCATCAATGATGACTCCAAGATCCTTTTCTGCCTCTGCACTGATGAGAAGAGAGTTCCCCAGCCTGTAGGTATGGTGCTGGTTCTTCCTCCCCAGGTGCATCACCTTGCACTTTTCAGTGTTGAATCCCATCCTATTCCCAGCCGCCCACCCCTGTAACCTGTCTAGGTTTGATTGTAGCCTATTCCTTCCTTCTAGCATGCCCACATCCCCCCACATCTTAGTGTCATCAGCAAATTTGAACAGGGTGCTTTTTACCCCCTCGTCCAAGTCATTGATGAAGATGTTGAACAGTACGGGCCCGAGGACTGAGCCCTGTGGAACCCCACTGCCCACATCCCTCCAGCTCAAAAATGACCCGTCCACCACCACTCTCTGGGTGCAGCCCTCCAGCCAGTTAACCACCCATTTGACTGTGTGGGTGTTGACTCCACAGTCCCCCAGTTTCTTAAGGAGAACGGGGTGAGAGACGGTGTTGAAGGCCTTCCGGAAGTCCAGAAAGACTATGTCCACTGCTACCCCTGCATCTAAGGATTTGGTGACCTGGTTGTAGAAGGCCACCAGGTTGGTCTGACAGGACCTGCCTCTAATGAACCAGTGTTGGTTACCCCTAAGCATAATCTCCCCTGTTGGCCCCTCGTGGGCATGTGCCAGAATAATTCCCCTTGATGTCCTCAAATTTCCATTCTTTTTTTCATAAGTAGTACGTGTAACAGGTTTTACTCAGCCATTACTGTCCTTTTTTCCTTTAGTTCCAATTGGCTTCTGCGGCTGTACACTGCTTTACGTTCTGATCCTAACACTTGAATCCTACAGAAGTCACATGGATGTATGAATTTCTCTTGTGCAGATGAGTTTAGGATCTATGGGCCCATTTTAAAACTGAAAGCATAGAGGGGTGTTCTTGAGGCTAGAAGTGCAATAATTAATATCTATGCTTGTACTTCCAGTTATGGGAGCAGGACTATATTTTTTAGGGTATGTCTGCACAGCACCTGTGGTGGGCTTGGGAGTGTTATTGAAAAGCATGCCCTACCTCCTCACTTCTAGTCACCACATGGCAAAGCTTGGAAAGTAAGCAATGCAGGTGATTTAGCAGGGTCTAGACCTGCTCTCAAGCCCTCTGCCTCAGGCATGCTTCCTGGTACGTGCACTAGGTCTGCTACATTGCCTAATTTTTGGGCACCGGCACATGGTGAGTGGGAGTAAGTAAGCATGGCATGCTTCTCATTGGTGCTTTCAGGCACAGTGTGGAGGCAGTGTATACACAAGGCCTTTGTGTTTCTGCATCCCCAGGAACAATGGAGCTTAGATCCTAACTGGAGTCTCTGGGTGCTATCACAACAGAAATTATGATATTATTTTATTCTAGATTTTAACATACTGAATGCTATGTGGAACTTGAGCACAGAAAAGTAGTTAGCAGTGTTCGTCTGAACTCAGGAAGAAGGCAGGTTGGATTTGCACCTTACAGACAAAATAAACCAGAGATGCATAAGCTTTCGTAAGTGGCAGCTGACTTTATCACCAGGGATGCTGGTTTTCTCTGATAAAAAAAATCCCCAATTTTCAGATTAAAAAAAGCAACTTGAAATCCACATTTTTCCATGATTAAAATGAAACACCATGTACGTGTCTGTCTCTTATAGTGGTATTTCATTTTGATCATGGAAAAATGTGGATTTTGGGTTACTTTTTCTAATCTGAAAATTGGGGATTTTTTTAATGAAAGAAAACCAGGATCCCTGTTCACCATATAACATCAGATGCCATATGGTGAAGTAAACTGCTGTTTATGAAAGCTTATACATTTCTGATTTACAGATTCATAGACATTAGGGCTGGAAGGGATCTTGTGAGATAATTGGGTCCACCTCCCTGCCCAAGGGGCAGGAAGTCAGCTGGGGTCAGATCACCCCAGCAAGATAAGCATCCAAGTGTTTCTTAAAGGTATCCATAGTAGGTGCTTGCACCACTGGTGGGGGGAGTCTATTTCAGACTCTGGAGACTCAGACGGTAAAGAAATTTTTCCCAATGGCCAGTCTAAAATGGTGTTCCAGCAATTAAGTTAGTCTGTAAGGTGCAAATGTAGCATTTGAACCATCATAATATATGGCACATACATATACATATATATGCTCTACATATACAATAGCAAATTATTTTCCTTATTTTGGGCTCCAGAGTTTATACATTTGAAAAAGCATTAAAAAAGAAAACATACAAAGCAGAATGACAGGGGATGTCTAGTAAGACTGTTTAAGAATTAAACTAAGGAAACAATGGGGCTAAAATAAACACTAACATTACCAGCAGGCCCAGGTTTTTTTTTGTGTTTATATTGTTAAGACAGGGGTGAAAACCTGTAAATCCATCAACAAGATATAAAAACCTTCACTTCCCCCTTTTGACTTTTGAAATACAGTGCAACTCTTTACCATCTGTTATTTTAAAGTAGAAACAGCAATGAACATATGGGCTTTCTTTCTCAACCAGCTGTAGTGTAGTTAAAGTTATAATAATAGCCTTTCTGTAAGATAAATTTACATTAAAAAACCTGGCCAGCAAAGCAACTGTGCCCAGCTTTATAGTTTTCCAGAATGAGTTTACAAAACCAAAAATCCATTCATGATATACTTAGTGACTGCAAAATATTTCCCTGTGCAAACTCACTTCAAGCAGCTCAATGGCATTAACACTAAAGGGGCCGTCAAAGCTACTATCTTCCTTTTTTCTGGTCAACTGCTTGCATCATTAATTGGTGGGTCATGAGCTAAATTTCATGACTGGAACAGTGTTGTTCTAAATAATGACCCGAATGACAAGAGTCGTAACCTACCTCTGCTATAGTTCATGAAGCTTGTTGGTTTTATTTACAAGAGGCAACCATACATAAACCCAATTTTTTTACAAATTAGATGTATAGCATAAGATTTCATGATTATATAAAGGGTTAGCTAGAATGAGACTAAAAAACTGAAAGGACCTCATGGTGTGCTCATTTTCACCCAATAGTCAGAAAAATAAGAATGGCATACCTTTATCAGGGTGATTCAGAATCATGATTCTCCTGTGAGCTGTTCTAATCTTGGCCTTGCTAGCAGATGGACTGTAAAAATAAATTGAGGTGATTACCATAAATAGTATCATACTCTGACTGAAAATTAACAGTTTGTACTGGGCTTCACAAAATTAGAACTAGAGATTTTCACCATCTTGTGGACAAAACACATAACTGCATCTTCAAGGAAGTAAGATATTTAAAGAACAGTGGAGAGAAAATATGCGTTTTTTAAAAAGCCGGTAGACTGTAGGAATACTTATGGCTTTTGGTTCTTCAAAAATTCAAAAAGTTACTCCCCTATTAAAGTTAATCAATTTAATGTATATAACTAACAATATGTAGAGAAAACATATATAAGGCCTATTTCCTCCCTTTTATTTGTTAAGAGTACCAGTAAAACTGCTTTCCTGGAAAATGGTTATTTGTACGACTAATGACTAAGTGTCTCGTGTTTATATACAAGTGTATAAAATACAGTAATATTAAATAATTCCTCATTCTGGTGAGGTCTGAAAACCATGCATTTATTATTTTTGCAAACGTGCTCAATGTGTTACACTTGGGGACATGTTGATTTACAAGTGATACATAATGTTGTTCCATTCAATGACAGGTAGATAAAATATACACTTCAACTAAATTAAATATGTACCTTACCAGACAAATAACCACTTATGGATGCAATGGACCAATACAGGCTCTGGTGTGCAGAAGAATGTTTATATTTAAATCTGCATGATTTAGTTCTTTGAATTTGTTAGCATGGATAATGCAGCTATCATTTGCAATGTTTTTCATTTCTTGAGATGCCTGGTTAATCAGCAACAATCTAATTAATAACTTACTATCTTTCTGGATTTAACCCTAGTCTGTGCTGGAATGCAAAGTCTCAGCCTAAATATATTAATGAAGTAAACAACCTGTAAGCAGTCTCTTAAAAGAGTTCTACAGATCTACAAAGGATCTGGCAATAACCCCTATAGTTAAGCTAAGCTATCTCACTCAGTTGCAGGGCCAAACCCATTATTAATTTTTTAATAAACTACTCTGAAACAATTTTCCCTCCCTTACAGTGGAGACAGCAGTAGCTGCTCTATAGTTAAAGCAGAGTTATATTCTACTCTTAATTTCAAGAGTTTCAACTTTAGAGGTCTCTTGCTTTTTCTCCACTGTGCATCAGGACAGTAGTACTGCCAGAGCTCTTAACATGCACAAATATTTAAACCTGGGGTTTGGGCTCTCTTGCCCCCTAGTATTTCAAAGATCAAAATCACCAGTATATTCTGACTGTTTAAACATTCTGCCAGTGCAAAATGAGGTTAAACCATCAGTAAATTCTGCATCATGCAATGTGACTGTGTCAATGAATCTGCTCCTAAAATTACAATTTAGTAAGTGATTTAAAGTTGGCAATGAACAACCTGTAATTAGAAATATTTGATGGTATTACTCCCTTTGTGACTCTTTCTTAATTTTCATATTTTAAATATCTGCTAGAATTTCCATACATTTAAAATATTAACATGAAAAATTACACTGAAATATACTTGCTGATGATACATACCCACAACCTTAAGGAAGAGGAATGTTGTTATCTTTGAAATGTAACCTAAATCTTCAACTGCATGGATTTGCAATGCTTTGTTTTAGGGATAATTACAATATCCCTGTAATGTGCCTGACCTTTAAGTTATGGACCCTTGAGATATCTGTAACTTAAGTCCTGCCTCAAGTCTCAACCTTTAGTCCTGCCTGATGTGGGCACATGGGCCTGTTCTGTATCCTTGGCTCTTTCAAACAGAATAAAACAAAAGCAAATTAAAGATCCACTGAAAGAAAGACAATAAAAGTTGTTAATGGATTTTTTTGATATATTAACACAATCTAGAGCAGTGGTTACTACACTGTGGTCCACAGTTCACACCCAGTCTCTCCAATTTTCAAGTAAAATTGTGATGATAAGGGTGCACGATGGTCTGCTAGAGATTTTGAAAGTGCTCTGTTGGTATATAAATGTCTGGGAACACTGATCCACAGTGTTGTAGATGTCATTTTTTAGAGAGATTGGAGTAGGTAATCATGCTAGCACACCACGTGCTATTTTGATTTTATCAGTAGCATTAAGTTCTCTGCAGCAGTGTGCCTGGCCTGAAAGAGTGTCAACAAACTGTATAGTTTATTTTTTATCATCACCATCATCTTCACAGCTTAAACAGAATCTTAAAATGGTTTTCAAAAAAGAAGTTATAACTATGGCCAGATATTGCCACAATTTCTTGCACCAAGTATTTTTCCATTCAAGTTTGGTCAAAGAACAAAAATGGTACTAATAGAGCACACCTACCTTATGCCTAAAATGAGACTAGCTTCTCGCCTACTCATTTTCTGTTCAAATCCACCTTTATAGTAGGATGAAAGACTCTACAGGGAAGAGAAAAGCCAGAAAATAATTAGTTCCATGCACGTGTCATGACCTCAATCCTATTATTTGACCCTAGCTAAGGTACTGCATTTGACTAGAACAGCTTTTAAAGTGATAAATCTACTGAAAAACAGATATGGGCAGAAAATAATTCTATAGTGTTAACTCACAGAAAATCTGAACCTCACAGAAGTTATAGAGTTGTGTTTTATAATGTTGGAAAAATGATAAAGGACAGTGATTGCTGCAGCCACTAGTTTGGTTGACTGAGAGTTCCTGCCCTTAATCAGGGGAACCTCACAGTCTAGATGTTGCACAGAGAGAAAATGTGTGTTAATGTATGTGGTATATAGATTCATGATTTCATCCTCCCTGACATTTGGGACTAGCTTTTGATCTGGTATGTATTATTACCTCAAAACAGACAAGGACATCTTTAGTACTATCAAAAAACCTCCAAACAACAACAACAAAACCAACTGGCAAGGAGCGAAATATCAGGATTGTTCAAAGGGTGATAGGTGCCCTTTTCAAAAACACCCAAGCAACTCAGAAGCTGGCGTTCCATTTTCAAGAGACTTATACACCTACATGCTTTTAAAAGTGATGCCCAACATTCCTGTCCCACACCTTTAATAGGATTGTACAGTACTAGGTTGGTGCTGAGGGAAAAGAATGCTTCCTCCTTGAATTACCTTCATTACATAATATAGAACATTTTCCCAAATTTTGCTAGGCTTTACTTGAAGCAGTGACCAATGCTGATTTACTTGAATTAACAGCCTGAAGTTGTAAGGTTTCAGGCTCAAATACAAATTCTTTTTTATTTTTTAAAACATGTTTCTTGACGTTATTTCAAGAAAAAAAACGCTTTACCTTGAGAGAAATTTGAAATTTACTAAGATTTGGTTACTAAGGAAAGCGTTTCTTCTTGAGGAAGTGCACGGTGAGAACCTCTTTACCAAAAGCCTTAAAATGGCTCAAGTCATATGTATTAAACCCCTGCATTTTAAAATTTAAAAATGGCCATGGGACACTTTATCTAAACCTCATTCAACGAGGTTCAGCTAAAGTACCCCCGCAACCATTTTAAAATGTGTGGGAGACTTAATACACATGACAGTGATGTTACACTGGAGCATTCTAACTAGAACGCAAATGAGCACATGTATAGGCAGCAAAAGGAAATTGGACATAAAAGTCATGTTTTTTCTACATGAGGGTTTGGTCAATAGAGGTCAAGGCATTCTGGAAAATAAGAGCTGATAGGCAGTTTTTTAAACATTAAGGAAGAGACATTTTGCTTTACACATGCTATTAATAGTAGAATAAATAAGCTGTCTACCTGCTGATACTTCAAGTTCTGAAGCCTTATTACCAGGGTCCCTTATATGTTGTGGTTTAATAGGTTATGCAAGTTAACTGTTTCTTGCATGTGCCTATTAATGGGTGTAAAGAAAATATGAAATAGTTTTGGTTTGGTCTATGAAGCATGTACTTTCTCTTGCCAATTTGGCTATGATACATTTAAAATCTTTCCCTAGCACTGTAATCACAAGGGATCCTGCTTTTCTCTGATTAAAAAAAAAAAATCCCCAATTTTCAGATTAAAAAATAACCCAAAATCCATATTTTTCTATGATTAAAATGAAACACCACTAAGATATATCTATCTATATTTATCTATACACACCTACGTGTGTGTGTGTGCGTGTGTGCGTGTGTATATATCCATCCCTGTATGTGGACTATGCATGTATTATTATTATCCCTGTATGTGGACTAAATATATATTATATATGTATATCCAAATATCCCTGTATGTGGATGAAGCATCATATTGGCCACGTCAAGACGAGTGCGGCTGTGCAGTATGTGGCACTGCAGACATGTCTGCAGCGCCACATACTGCACATTCAGGTGTTCTTTGTGATGCAAGGTAGCATGCAAAAAAAAGGAGGGTGACACACATGGGGACAGTACACACTGGCCAAAACCGGGGCCTGCCCAGATGGAGTCACACTTTGACTGCCAGCCTGATTCCAAGTGGCAGGATCACTGCTGCTGCAGCCCTAGGAGGCCCCCAGGATCCCAGGTAAGGCTACTGGGACCAGCCCAGTAGCTACAAGAGGAGAAGGCTACTGGGACCAGCCCCAGCCTCCCCTACCCCACACACGGTAACTCGCTGCGTGCCAGATGGCATGTGGCACGGGTGTTTCCTGGAGAAAACTATCAGCTGCTGCTTCTTGTCCTTGGAGAAACAAATGTCCATGCTTGTGTGGATGTGTTCATTGTGTCTGTTTTTTTTTAAGTGTTGTCTCAGCATCTCCAAACACACTCTCATTGAAAAGACAACACAAGAAAATGCCACAAAACAGACATTATATAATAGCTAGTTATTAGAGTTGTAATGTACTGTACATGTTGTGAATCCCAAGATCACCTTCATCTTCACAGACTTTTCACCTTCTTCACTTTATGACACTCGGAGAAGCCCACTACAAACTTGATTACTCTGTTAACTTCACTGAACCACGGATGATCTGACCCCCCCCTCACCCCCAATCTGATTTTTAGCATCAGTGTTATGATACTCTGAGAGAAGAGCAGTGAACAAGGAGAAGCAAACAGGACAGTTTGCCAGCAGGTTGCTGGAAGCAAGAGGAGGAAGGGGAAGAGGAACCACGCACCAGATCCTGCTCTGGGAAGGTAACTGAGCCAGGGCTGCCTATGTGCTTGGCTTGCTGAGGTCTGTTTGGTGGGTTTGTGTGCTTGGGCGTGTGCTCTGAGCAGCTGAGTGGACCAATGTGACAAAGGGGCCTAGCCAGTCCAGGCCTAGGAGAGGTAAATAAGGAGGCAGTCCAAGTGACCAGCGGAGTGACGAATAGGGAAAAGCAGACAGGACAGTTTGCCAGCAGTTTGCTAGTCAGGTTTCCACTCCTCTCTTTGAAGGGGAGCCTGAAAGGTAAGATTCTTTTCTTTATATATGTAATTAGGACTGACTAACTACATAGTTTTATTTTAGCAGCTAAAACTCAGCAGCTAGACAAAGATTTAAGCCTCTTGTTTAACCAGAGTCCAGAGTGAGGGGGGGTTTTCTTGGAAGCTCTCTCACATTCCTTTACTTTAAGGTGGCTAAGAAGACAGAGGTTCCAGAGAAAAGGGAACCCTTCAGATCAAGGAACAGCCAACAGAACAGCTACAGAGGAGTTTGCTAGGGAAGGTTTGCTTGGAAAGAAAGGCAAGAAGTGAGGCAGCAGATTAGAAGACCCAGAGGCATGGCTGGAGGATGTCACAATGTCAGAACCACTGCCACTTCCAGCTGTTCCTCTGCTTCCACCTGTGAGGTCTCTGTCCAGGAAGGATCAGACACCGTTGATGCTTCCACCCAGGTCCTGATTTGGTGCTGTGCAGACTGAGGCTTGCAGATTCCTTCTGGTGTCAGTCAGTTGGGGGAATGCCTACAATGTAAGCGGTGCCCCTCAGAGAAGGCAAGAGAGCTACAAGAGAGCAAGGCTTTGAAGCACCCTTGGCCATGAGGGGACTTCATCGATTCCATGCTGGAAGAAACCTGTAGGACTGTGGAGGAAGGACTGCTAGAGGTGGTGCTTGAAAAGGAAGAGGGCATGAACATCCAGGAAGTTGGAAGCTTGTATCTTTTGGCAGAAAGAAGAATTTGTCATCCCTACATGCAGTGGTTGGCCTTTTAGAACAGATATGGAGCACTAGCAACAGAGGAGGAGTGCATTCCATTGGTGGAAGAGGCCAGGGCAGGAATCCCCAAGGTGGGGAAGACTGAGACAACTGCCATGAAGAAGAAGTGACAGGTGGTTGCGGTTGGAGACTCCCTTCTGCAAGGGATGGAGGGATCCATCTACCAGCCTGACCTGTTGTCCCGGGAGGTCTGCTCCTTGCTTGAAGCCCAGATCTGAGATATCATGGAAGGATTACTGAGACTCACCCAACCCTCTGACTACCACCCCATGTTACTCATCCATTTGGGCACCAATCATCCTGCCAGGGGTGACACTGAGCAGATCAAGAGTGACTACAGGGCTCTGAGTGCAAGGGTGAAGGGGACGGGGGCACAGGTTGTGCCCTCTGCAATCCTTCTGGTCGAGGGGAACGGCTCTGGCAGAAGCAGACGCATCCTGTACATCAATGCATCGCTCTGCAGGTGGTGTTGCTAGCAGGGATTCAGCTTCTTTGACTATGGGATGTTGTTCCAAGAAGAAGGATTGCTAGAAAGAGACAGGATCCACCTGATGAAGAGAGGGAAGAGCATTTTTGCAGACAGGTTCGCTAACCTAGTGAGAAGGGCTTTAAAGTTTTTGCCAGGGGGTGGAGAACAAATCTCTGAGGTAAGTAGGGGACATGGAGGAAACAGAAGCAAGTGGGGGCAACAGGGGAGGCGTCATTCTTCCTGAGAAAGTAGGGCAATTGGCTAGTCACCTTAGGTGTCTGCACATGAATGCACAAAGCCTGGGGAAAAGGCAGGAAGAACTGGAGGTACTCACACAGTCAAGGAATTATGACATGATTGGAATAACAGACTTGGTGGGATAGCTTGCATGACTGGAGCACTGTCATGGATGGGTACAAACTGTTCAGGAAGAGCAGGCAGGGGAGAAGAGGAGGAAGAGTTGTGCTGTATGTAAAAGAGCCATATGATTGCTCAGAGCTCCAGTATAAAAGTAGAGATAGGCCTGTTGAAAGTCTCTGGGTTAAGGTTAGAGGGTGTGCTATAGACCAGCAGACTGGAGGATGAAGTAGATGAGGCTTTCTTTTCAGACAACCTGAAGAAGTTTCCAGATCACACTCCCTGGTTCTCATGGCTGACTTCAATCACCCTGACATCTGCTGGCAGGGCAGTACGGCAGTGCACTGGCAATCTAGGAAGTTTTTGGAGAGTGTTGGAGACAACTTCCTGGTGCAAGCGTTGAAGACACCAACTAGGGGGCGTACTCTTCTTGACCTACTGCTCACAAACAGGGAAGAC